GACCAGACGACACAGCCACTATTTTCCCACAAAGCGTGATATCTCATCCTGGGGAGTGCGTAGGCTTACCTGTGGAGTCGGCTTGTGAACGGTTAGGATTTGATATGACTTGGAGCAAATACGAGGTAAGGAAAATGGCACTAACGCTAAATGTCTTTGAACCGTATGCATCACCTTCTACTTAAACGACAGTGTAAAAATGAAAGAGATCAATGTAATGGGTCAGCAAATTTGTCAAGAGTTGGCTCATTTAAGCGGGTGATGGCAAGAAATTAAAGGACCACCACTGAACCTTAATTGGAAGTGGTGGCAAAAGAGCGTCCAGCCGAGAGAGGTCGGAAATCATAGAGACGAGTCACCCCTGAAATACTACGGAAAGCGGTTCAATCAATTCCCTTGTACTATGAACATTAAAGTAAAACAAGTCAGTTATTTGAAACTACCCTCAGTTCAGTTCATGGTCGATTTCAGTGTGCGCAGAGTAAATTTAGATGAAATCCGCCAACTAAATCTGACCTATGATGAATTTAGTTATTTAAAGACCATTTTCACTGTCGCCAGATATCCGGACTCAGTATTTATACGCTGATGAGTAACTTGGGCATGCGTCTATGTGTGCATCCCATTTACCCCCTCTATGCGTTAATGGGAACATTGAGCTACCTGGATATGCGCAGGTACGTAATATCCACTAATTCTCGTCGTTTTTTCACCAGTCAACGCTGAAAGCATCGTTCTTAGTGACTCAATTAATGGCTAGTAGGGCATTAGCAAAATCAATGATTTGATTAACTCAATGTTAGTCCTAGTTCTATGTACCTGTTCCCAACTAATTGTAGTAAAATTGTTGTTCAGTATTTTCAGTAGGGTAGACATTAGACAAGAGTTGTTTAATTCAGGAATTTATAAAAGCATTAGGAAATTTTTGAAGCATGTGGTCAAATAGAAGGTCTGTCGTCAAAAAATTACACATTTCCCTCAGAATCAATGACATACATAATGACTGCCGTAAAAATATTTGACCACCAAAAAAATTAGCTTTTTGTTTAAGTGTGCAAAAGCATTGGGTCATAGTCAAGACTATTGATTTCCCTTGTAGCTTTCAAGTACAGTAAATTTACATGTGTGCCTGTCAATTTATCCTATAAGAGCAACTAAATACAACTGATAACACTTGACCCATCTGTAGTGGGCATGGATGGTTGCCGAAAACACAAGTTTTATTAAGCAAAGAAGTCCCAAATTGTTCTCACAACACCTCACTTAAAAATCATTTTAAAAATATCTAGGATTCGTATTTATTTAAATTTTAGTTTTAAGGGCTTAAAATAACGACAATAATTACTTAACATTTAAGATTGCTTAACCGTATCCCACGAGTAAAGATGAAACTCGTCTTAAAATTTTAGTAAGGCATTTACCAATTAAGATCAAGGCAAAAACAAATGAGGTGGATGCATAGCATTCAAGAAAAATGGCAATTTTCGTGACCGTTTGTACAGCCAAAGTAATTGTACTCACCACGGCACCTCTTAGAGATCACATCGATGAAGCGTGCTGAATGAATTTGGGAAACCTAAAAAATCTGGAAAATGCTACTGCTGCATTATTTCATTATCGTTTCCTCAAAAATAAAGTAATCGGTTAAACTATACTCGTTATACCGTGCAAAGTCGTATACAAAGACCTGACCCCTATTAAGAATTGACGAAATTTAGAGAAAGAGCACGCCATGTGTGTGGATAGGCACCATCCAAAAAATATCATGGGTTTATTAATGTTCACTGTAGTCCTACGGAATATATATCCTGTTCAGGATAAAGTTCACTAAGGGGAAAGGATTGTGGGTCAGATGGTAGAGAGGAAGTGTGTAACATGCAAACCACTTACGAAGTAAAAAGAGAGCATAAATTTGCAAAATGTGTAGTGCCATTAAAATGGCATCAATTTAATCGAAAAAATAATGCGTACTTCTTTACTAATGACCTAAATTGTAAGGGCTAGCAGTTATTGTGGACACTGTGTTCATTGTCAATAACAGAGTTGTTAGAAACAGTCAAATATTAAATTAACAAAAATCAATCTCCCGTATGCTATAAGCTTGGTTTCGCGCTAAGACCATACCTGGCCATCAATTATTCAACTAACTTTCACATCTGATATAGTCCAACTAAGTGAACACTGCCCCAAAATCTAAATCCAGTTAATCCTGTATGCCAAAAGTAGTCTTGTCTCAATGGCATAACATCTAGAATTCAAAAAGAAAATTGTAGGTCTTAAATGCTTTAATTAGTCCTTGATCTATAATAGCGTTGTGGTTGCATGCTTCAGACATTTGTTTTAAATACCAAATAGCTATTTCCAATCAGTTTATTTTGCAGACGATCGTTAAAACTTAATTGTTTAGAGCTGAACGAATTGTATTACCTAACACAAATTTAAAAAATAGTAAAAGGATCGGAAGCAGAGCTTAAAATTGATTCGCATTTTATTGATTTGAAGCACCTTAGTTAACTCAAGCGTCTCAGAGTAATTTAAATGTAAATGCATATTATCAAAGGGCACAAAGCAGTGTTTGTGAAGCAACGATTCCATTAACTTTCATTAACAGTTTTTGAATTGTGATTGGCGTACAAAAGTTCATATCTTGAATATTTGAAGTATACAAACTCAAAAAATATTTTAGGGTTTTTACGAACGCGCAAACAATGCATGATTTCGAATATTCTCCATGAGCGTCTTCTGCATTTAGTTTTCGTTTTAACAGTAAAAATAGTTATGTGATGAATTCGTATCTACTTTTGTCTGCACAGAGTCTTATAGCTCCAGGAATGTTTATTTACGCTGTTTACTCCGCAACACTTTCAAATATTTTCTCCGTGTGCGTTAGCGGCCTAAATTCTGCTCATGATTTCTTTAATTTCTACTATTAAATCCATTTACTCGAATACACCAATCTTGACTGTCCGGCGCTTTGTAGGAGGCATTTTTCGTGTTAAGTACGTTTTATTTATTGGTTGTCTTACCGTATAATAGGCGTGGTCTTCCTGCCTCCAATAATGAATGGGGACCGCTGACTGATTTACCTGATTACTCTTTCCTCGGTAAATCATTTTTTTATGTGACCCCTTAGATGGCAGAATTCCTAAGATTACAAGTGTTGGCCAGAAGCGAAGAATCATTGACCAGTATATGACGACGGTATGGTAATCTTTTAATTTGCACATAGTAGCCGCTTAACTATATTTGACTCATTTGTGTATAGCAAAGTAAGCACCATATTGCTCCCTCTTGAAGGCTAGTCCAACAATCGTCGATTTTCTAATTTTCCCACATACTTATCCAGGCAAAATACTGCTTAAGCTTTTAACTGACGCATTTAGATCGGCATTCTGGTTTACTTTGCACTCAATTGCATATTCGCACTTGAAGTTCATTTTAGAGAAACTTTGTTGGGAATTACTAGTTTCTATGCATCCACCAATTTAGGGTTTACTTAGCCCCTTTTTGTTCACTTATTTTTTCTTTGAATCGACTTGCGATGTGTCCTATTGGAAATCACTACCTTGTATCTCAAGCTTAGAGCATGCACATTCTTTCCATAACGTTTTAAAGTTCCAATGCATGGGGTGGTGGAATTGTGATTTATCTGATCTGATTTACCACAAAATTTTGTATCTACCAAACTACCAGCTGTGAACGTGGATGCTATTTATAACGCCCTAATGTCACAAACTCGAAAGTATACATTTTTTGAAATGCGTTTACAAACAGGAAATCACCATAATCCCGCGAGTATTAAAGTAATCGCAGAAACACTAGCCTTCTCGTGGTTAACTCGAATGCAAGGTGCCCTCGTTGGCCCTAATTAGATATTAGTTGTTAACAGTTTCTGGATACCTTTACGTTTAACTAAGAAATTTCTAGACTGATAGCAGCAAAACTCGACTGTTGTTAGAGCCCGCTCTTCTTTTTCATGGAATTTCACTGAATGTCCAGCGTCGCATTATGAAGTCTTATTCATATTTTTTTTTGAGTCAGAAAACCAAGCATGGTGTACCAGCTTCGTTATATAATCCACTTTCTCTTATTTTTAGAAACAAATAGTCTGCCTATCGGCAGAGCTACACGAATCCAATAAGAAGCTCAAGGAACAGAAGATGGCTGCTATTGAAGCAGAAAAAGCACTTGCGGAGAAGCTACTAAAGAGAAAAGGATCACGCAAACTAGATTGTTAGCCACGTCTATTTGTACATAATATGTCAGCGATATTCCTGTACTATACTGCTTTATGACACTGCGTTGACGTTGTTCATCTGTTAGTCCGTCCGCCGTAAACTAAATTGATTTCCGCTCGAGTGCTGCTTATTGCTCCTCCCAAGCCTCGCTCAGACATCCGATGTTATGCGCTTCCTATTTCAATTAAACCAAAAATTGTAGATACGCACCAGTGTGACAGGCCACGGGTGCCGATAATCTCATTTGTAAATTTGTACAGAATACTGGCGACAACCACAAATGACGCGGCATAAGGGCTAATCCCAGTAAATTTCGTGCACATTCTCTACGCACTTTCGATTGCTACTCCCGCCTGTAATTTTAACTGCTTCGTTAACGAAGACTGATTCGGATGATATTAGCTTGGGCCTAAACTAATCCTCAGTTTACACAATGAGATAACAAAAAAAACAAGAGCAACGACATTACATCGGGAATTATCGGAGGTTACACTTGATGGCCGAAGACCCATTCAAAGGAACTAGGTAACTACTTCGTCTCCCAGTAGCCTGACCGACCACGATTTACCATCACAGGCCTTCAAATAATGCATTTTTGTAAACTAACTAACCGCTTTAACAAAATCTGAGTGAAGTCTGCAAAATACTTGACCAAGCATTTGAAAACAGAACTATGAGGCCTACTACGCCTTGAAATGGAATAGAAGATCAGATGTATATTTACAATTTTATAAATAGAGATGACTACCGAATGCGCAGAGATCAGGACTCTTCTTTGTGGTCATCTAACCACTTTTGCATCACCTCCAGTGGGAACTCTGGGCCTTCGCATTTCATTCCACTTATTGGGTCAACGATGGCACCCACGGGGAAGACAATCTTCTTCAGTTTATAGACTGTGTTGAATGCGATGGGAGGGTCACACTTTTCTACTAGAACAATATCACCTATATCAACGTCCAGATTCTGTTTGTGAGCCCAATAGGTTCGGGTTTGATAATAATACTAAAACATGAAAATACCAGAAATAGGAAACGAACCTTAAGCAAAAACCTGTTCAAGCACAGCTTGTGCAGTTTGACCTTTACTATATCTGGGCGAGAGGATGTTAAATTTTGGCCAAATGGCACGACTTTCCCAAGAGCGAGGTCGAATGGTGCTTTTACTATTTTTCCGCTATAAGAAGCTTTAACAGGGGAGACTCCCTCAACTTCCGGCTTGTGGAACGGAAATAGTTTCTGGACATGGGGCTCAACTAGCTTTTGAACAAGAGCACTCCGATGAGCCCAATACCGAACCATCGCAGCAGAAATATTAAAAATTACACTATAAATAATGGAAACTTAAACAATTTTTCCATGTGATAAATTGTCAAGGAAAGTAAAAATAACAATCCAGAGGCACAAAAATTGCTTAAAAATGCCTTAATGGATTATAACAATTTTATAGACAGAAACATTTAGGTGGACTTTCTTATTGGATAATTTTGGTGTAAATTCGAAAATTTAAGCATAAATATAAAAGGGTATAAATTTCTTCTGTGCTACCAATCCAACAAAGTATCACAAAAAAATATTATAATTACTCTTAATGTAGACACCTAATAAAATGTGCTTGTATGGAATATTTTTCTGATTCTATACAGACAAATGCCTGTTACATGTTCCCCTTGATTAAGTCAAATGCCCAATTTTACCTCACCGACCAAGTGGATGCCTTTTTGAATACCCAGTTACTGAATGATTTTACTCCTCTGTAATGTCCAGTCAAGTCCTCTGGATTATGCTCCATTCATTTATTTTGATTGGATCCGTTCATGAATGGCACATTATTAAAAAAGTTCATACGTGCCTGTACTCCAAGTGAACAAACTGTCAAGACTTCACAATGAATATGGACAATGTAAAAAGCAATATAGACCTGTTTTTTTTAAATTCAGGTAATTCGGGTCATCTCCACACTCGAATTTAAAAAAAAAGATTTCCAAATTAAAGGCCATATTGACAGTAAAAAAGAGTAACTTTTCTACTCGTGAGGATTCTCATTTCAATATTTCATTTAAATTATGTTGGTCAGTTTAATCGAAAGTAAGGCACCCAGTAGACAGAATAGCCATTTCAGAGTCAGGAATTCAACTAATACTAACTGGTTACCGGTGACACTTCGGAGAGGCCAGTAAATAATTACGAGGCACCATTTTTCGATTAAAAGGTTTAGCTAAGGATATTTATACGAAATACTTATCTCATTGGGTTTGAAAAACAGTCTTGTTGATACCTCAAAGTTAGTAAACAACCGCCAATTAGGTCTGCGTTCTAGAAGCTAATGACTTTAATCTAATAATTGCGTCACAGATACATTAAAATAGTCATTCGTTCGTTACTTGAATACCTCGGCACGTCATTCAGACCTCTTGTAATGTTTCTTGATTGATCACCGAGATATTAACCCAGTTTCGAGTTCCGGTCACAAGTAAACTCTTCACAGAAAACATGTAGTCAATCAGATTCAGGGGCTGATGACATTACACTTTCCCAACATAAATACGACTGCAAATCTACGTTTAGACCAGAGCGTCCAGCAGGTACTGTGGAACTAACCAACCCGAGTCATTATAAAAAGCAGTTTAGATAAAAGTACAACCATGTGGGAATATAAAGTTGATGAATAAGTAAAGAACAAGAAGTGTCATAGCGATGTTTTGAGAAAATCAGTCAGTTCTTCATGCAAACCACAAAGTTATTTGACGTGGATCTTTTCGGCAAGATACAGAACCGCTAAGAACTTCCGCCAGCTCCGCTTGCACTTACCCGTCTGATCTTGATGAGGGTTAAAAAAACCTATACGTACTGATGAACCGAATTTAAAGACACGAAGTAGAGAATGCAGGTGATGTGAACGAAAATCTGACAGCCTTAAAAGATAGACGATAGTCAGTGAATGATACGCAACTTTAGAAGAGGTGACGCAGTAAGTCGAATTTCGCTTCCGATTGCGGCCGTCCGTAGGCGCCAACAAGGACGGGAATACGATGCTGATGGGTCAACCGCCAGGGTAAGGAAAACTGATCTGAGAAAGCCGGGAGAAGAAAGCCACGACCTCAGTCCGATTCTGACGGGGTCTCCGCCTTCATCAGCGGGTGCCCCACTAGCGATCGCCAGGTGAGTTATCAACTGGCTTGTGATGGATTCACCGAGACCGAGTAATGACGATACGCAGCGCAGACATGCTGGAGAGATCTGCAATTGGCACGACGTAGAGGCCATGGACGGCATGTGGGATTCGCTTGCCGCAGTCAGCATGGTAGTTTGGTTGGCATCCATGAGGTCGGAGTTAAAGGAAGCAATCGCATTTGCAGATCCATCAGAAACGAGGAGCTTCAGTAGAATCCGCACTAGAACCAGGGCCGGATTTTAGCGAAAAGTCCAAACCGCAATGGTAAGTCCTTGTTAAAAAGGCTGTAAATGCTTTTCACACACACACACACACACTCACCATACTTTGGAGTTGGCGCAACATTGAATTCCAGGCACTTGACGATGTGAACGAAGCACACCTTAACGGGTTTTTCGTCGCAAAGCAGGTCAAGAGTTGCCGCGAGACCTGCCTCAGGCTGAATCTTGGTTTGTTGCCGTGCTTGGCAAATACGACAGACCGGGAGAGGGCCAATGGTAGCGCTGGAGTCTGCAGTCGCCAGGCGCCGACAATGAGGGTGAAAATATGAACAGAGACCGTTGGGGGATATCTGAAAGCGATTTGGTGACAGCGGCACCACCAGACGATAGGCGTCTCCATTGGAGACAACGCGGACCTTGAAGAGACCCACGTGGGTCAACGTGGGAAGACGGGCGAGATCCTCGGCCTTCTCTGACGAGAAGAAATCGATGCGAAGCGGCGCGGAAGCAGTCGTGTCGAGGCTGTAGCGATCAATTAGCCAGATGCTGGCACGTTGTTTGCCATTGCTGGGTGGATGGATTTTCTGCTTCACTATGTAGCCCTGTAGAAGCACGAAGAGCCAAGCAAATAAAGACGATGCTTTGTTTGCGCCAAGGAAACGACGTATCGCGCTGACCCAGTCAATAGGCCACAGCAACCGGCCAATGAGTAACTACAACCAAGGCCGGGAGGATAGTGGTTGCTACAAAAATGCCTCACAACTTGCCTGAAGGCTAATCCTGGCCTGTTGGTGCTGTCCGGCGAGATTCTCGAGCAACGAATGCACCTCACAAACAGAGAGCACGCGCCACTGATAAATACCGACCAGGTGGTGGCAGGAACTGCTGAGTGGAAGGCCACTCGGTTCCTCCACTACCTCGGGGGCGCCACCTCTAAGATGAAGGCGAGTTCCAACGTTGAAGACTCCGCTAGAGTAGGCCCACAGGGCCTCTTCACACCGCAGTTCCTTGGTAGAGAGGGAATGCGATTGCGCTAGGCTGGACTCGTACTTGACTGAGAAGCTATCCAATTCGGGACTCAGGGGAGAAACGAAGCGAAGCAGTATGGCAGGTTCCGCCTCGTCCTCCACAACCACCATGGATTGGGAATCTTCGGCCAAGAGGTTGGGCCTGGCCGGGTTCACACCGGTGGCAGTGGGTGATATGCGCCTCGGAACGGAGTCGCAGATGATCAAACGACGTGGAATCGTTGGTAAGCTTGAGTAAGAACAAGATGACCAGTCAGTGCGCTGCAAACAATTTGGACGTTAAAACAAAAACACAATTTACAAATAGAATATCGATTTATGCAGAAATCAGTAAAAAATAGGGTCCAGAAATGGGTGTTGCAATAAGACAGTAGAGCACGACAAATGATACAAAACAAACCCCAAAATGCGCGCACCTGCGTCCAAATGCAAAGGCTACCTGCGGCGTTTCAAATGCATCGTTGACAAGCAGACGAGGCCGGGGAATGAGGACCAGGTCGTTGAACATGGGCCGTGTCAGGGTGGGGTTGTCGATGAGGACCAAAGGGATAGACACAGACGAGGGCTGTGGAAAGACGGGCCCGACGGTCAGCACACCCGTGCCCGGCTGTCGTCCCAGTCGACCAATCAGGATCACAGGTGAGGTGGACGGTGATTTAAACAACTGCAGCGGGCGGTCACTTCAAAAGACAAGAAGAGTGCGGCAAGCTGATTGTGGCGTTTTTACAAACCACCGCGTTACACTGCCTCGTGCTAGGTATCAACTACTTTCGTCCACTTCTAGATTTCTATGTTCACAATGAAGTCTTTGTAGCGAATAAGGAACGGGGATGTGGAATTTACGATGTCGCCAAATTGTGACATTTATGTTGACATATTCAAAAGTTAAATTTTAAGCCTGCCTAATCGAAGAGGTTGTGCATCTTTGGTTAAAGAAGATGCTGATTAGCGGTCTTTTCTGATGGCATGGTGCACACATCCCAGCAGGTGGCGCCAAGGCGAGCTAGCCGGGACAGCGGGACACAAAAAGACAAGGAGATGCAAAGCACGCGGACCTCAGATTAACCCGGTTATCGGCTTCCAGCCAAGCAGGCGTCTCCGCGTCGACGAGGTCAGCAGTGGTCAAAATTCTGAGCGTGAAGTGGGCAGGGCGTGCGTGCTCGCGGAGGTGGATGAATTGGCTGGCGAGATCAACTGTCCGTGGCACCGGTGCGGTTTTGTTGAGACAGCCCCGGAGAGCTTCGATTGCTCCCTCGGCCAAAAGCGCAGCCTCGGTGTCGTTGCTGCCGGCGGCCTCGGATTTCTGCATGTCAATCATGAACTGTCGTATATTAATGTCTACTTATAACGCATTCAGTAGCTGGTTTATTATCCATTTGGTGTTTAGGTAGAATTACACCAGGCACTCATAGAAGCCAATTTTAACTCCCTTACCTGATTTTCTCTGACAAAATTTGAAGGTGTTTTGTCAGACAAATGTGGTCTTAAATCACTCCTATTGGGGTTGATTGAGGAGATAGTCAGAACTACCGTGCACTCGATTTCACCAAGCTTAGACAAACCGATCCAACGCTACGGTGATTGAAACGTGGAGTTAAAATACTAAGCGAACATTCTGGCCTCAGCTCTTGTTGATGTTGAATAAGTCAAGGAATGAGACTCAATACGTGAGGTGTTCAGTTGGGGTCAGAAAAGGGGTGAAATTTGATTCGTCGCAATAAACTTAGTACATTTGAGGCTTACTTAAGCTACTGATCATAAACCTAGCAGGGTTATTAAACCTCTGACAACAATAAAAGCCCTATTCTAGCACGATTTCTGCTAAGACCGTTCCGCTGAGGTTTGCGAGTTGGTGCGACAGTGTTGGTTGAAAGAGAGAAGTCAACGTACAGTGAAGAGCGTCAGCAATGCAAGATTGAGGGCGTTGTCGGCGACTGGAGAACACTCGAGGCCGGACGTGTGGCCATCAACGGGGACGGCGTACTGGCATGCACCGCCCCACGAGGTCAGAATCGACGGTTCGAGGAAGCGTCCCTCGAAATGCCACAGCCCAAACGCTCGCACCACCGAGCCGGGCTGAAGTTCGGGCACGTGCAGAATCAGTTCCGTCTCATCATCACCGCCGCCACCGACACGCGTCACGGTGGTGTAGTGCCGACAGGACCGCTTGACAACCAGGTCGACGCGGGGGACGAGATGAGGTGGCCAATTCGGGCATACTTGGCGGTGGCCGCCACAGACGATGGAAGCATCGTCGTTTGAGACGCGTATAGAGCTCTTGCCTGGGACGTAGCGCCAAATTTTACCTTCTCGTTGCTGAAAACAAAACTGAAACAATGAGTAGTTGGAGGGGAACAGTACTCAGGCCTTTTCCAGAGGGAGAAAAAAGGGTCAAATTCATGAGTGCGGGCTGTGGTTGATGACGGTGGTTTTGCTTACTGGTAAAAGCATGTAAGCAGTTGATTTGGGCAACTCACTGCTCATTTGACGTCTCAAGTATTTCGTGGAACTCTGCATGGTTAAAAAATCTGGTATAGTGAATTATGACGACCCATATCTCCCAACTTAAGAACCATACCTAGGCCAAGCATTTAACAATTCTTTTTCACGGATAAAGTAGTTAAAAGAATCACTGATACTATTAGCTTGTTAACTACTATCTGTCAGATGGAATGTCGATTGTAGCACCCATCACAATTTTTCTGGTGGCAAGTAAAGAGACGGGAGTAGAAAAAAACTCGTGAGTGTCGGCTCTGAGCCCCATCGAACTTCCCTAATTTTGCGCGTTCAAAAGCTGAACACAACAGAGCAAGGCGTACTTACAGGAAATCTGGTGTCAGGTGCCGGGAAATTCAACTGATGTTGCTCTTAGTTAAATCAAAAGTCGATCAGATCAGAAGGAGTCGCCTTACCTGACCAGGATAAAGTGTGGCTTTGGTTAGACCACCAATACGGACACGCTGGTGCATCCGCCTGTCCAGTTCTGCGACGAAGGCCTCCCTGTGCGCGGCTGTCTTCTCAGGCGCCGAAGCAGGCCACGCGATGAGCAGATGACCAATGGGCTCGGTGCACAAACAATTGAGCACGCTAGTGACCTTCACCAAGATGTTCAGGGAATCGTCCATTTTAAAAATTGGACTTCGGAACTGGATAAAGCCCACAATTGCGCCCTGGAACTGCAACATCGTCCTGACTATCGAAAAAAAACAAAGACCGTGCGAGAGAAACTCCGTCGAACGTCTTTTCATCAAGCCACATACTCCAGGTGGCGAAATCCACGGAAAGGAGTTTTCGCTTCACTTATTATTTTAATGATGGGGCTAGGACAAAGCGAGATCGACTTTAGCCCATGTAAATCAGCAAAATAAATCCTAACATTGCTTTAAACGGGCGAAGTCGGCAGCCATTAGATTCTGGGATGCGGCTGTTAGGAAGCATCCACTACCAACATTCTAGGAAAACCCTGCGGAATTCTTCTGTTGATTCAAAGCAAGACAAGTAAGTAGCTACACAAAAAGTAGCCCACGAAAGATGCCGACCACAGATTGTGCAACATAATTATCAAATTTGACTCTTCGCTTCTTACAAGGCATACACATCAAACAACCACTGTGGACAAAATTTCAAAAAGTTCAAGGCTTCGCGCTAGCAATCCGATGACTGGAGGCTATGATTAAACTTTAAGTCCTGACACTGATGAGAAACAAGACCCGACAATCCACCCTCCATTTGGATCAGGATTATAGCAGTATTTTCGAGTAAATATTCCTTTGAGTTGTGCCAGGCGCGTTTTACTCGAAATGGTTTTTGTTTTTCCAGACAGAAGGACTAGACGACTTGACACATGCATTTTTGAGATGATGACATGGATGTATGAATCTGCTAAAACACCCTGTGACATCATAATACCCTATTTTATGCGACTAGAAAATTGATTTTTTAACTGAGATATTTATCTTTGTCCATACTGTGGTAAGCTAGGCTAACACAGCTAGGTAGAATAACGGAGGACTCACATTGATTTCTGGGAAAATTCTTGTTCTTTTGAAGTTTTAGGTCTGTCTTTTTGATGCGGCCACTGGGCATTACGGAAGACAGTTATTAGGAGGACGAACTTGTCCGCAGCGAAGTTCCGGTAATAATCCAAAGGCCAGTTTTTAAAAGTGCCAGACTGACGTTATCGTGCTTTTTCCGATGTCAGGCAATTAAATCAGACGCATTTATTGAGGCACGACATCGGAGATTGGATATGACATTGCTGGGAATACTGCGAATCCCCGAAAGCTAACATTAAATTTATGTTTATAAATGCATGAATTTTCGGAAGGAGAAAAATATGAGCAGACACAAATAAGCACCAAACCAAGCCCACCTTCATGAAGTGCTGAAGTGGTCATAAACGCCGCATCAGGCAAGGTAGCCATCTGTTATTAGTTCAAACAATATTAAAAAAGATGTCGTTTGCTCCCTCATTTGTGAATAATTGTTTAGCTAATTATTTTAGTAAGTCTTTGTGTTATTTGTTTACTGAACTAATTTTTGAGGTGCAACCTCCGTGACAGATTTCTGCGACAGACTTTGCCTCATTTTGATTTATAGCATCTTCAAAACATATGAAAAAAATTTGTCATGACTTGGAAACTTGCAATTAAATGCAAAACACATGGCAATGCATATATATTTTAATCTGTAGCATTCCTCAAATCACAAATGAATCTTGAGTCAAACGTCAACTTATTTATTTTTGAAAAATTTTTGAATTTCATCTCTCGCATTTTTTTAAAACGCGACATATTTTGCATAGTTTATTGTCTTTTGCTACATTTTGCATTATTACACTGAGGTTTTCACTATATAACGAGGCCAGGTATGGAAAGAATTTATTCACCCAATTAATGTTTTCAGCATAGTCGAGCTCGAAATAATCGCTCGTTCTGGATTAAAATGAGCAAGATTTGTTTACCATAGGTCATTTTTTTAAATGGTGCAACCCAAATCATATAGGATTAATAGATATATTTTTGCTGTTCGACTAGTTGACGAAATATACACTGAATCCTACCTGTACTTGAATTTAATTCCCACCTTTTAGTGCCACATAGTGGACAGTTGTCATGAATTTTAAATTATTTAACCCCTGTTAGTAATAAAAACAGACAAACCTGATTCAATAACACCTATCCTAGGGCCATTGATATTTAACGTGCCTTTCGTTCATATAAAAACGTGTCTGTCATTTCATCGAACAGGATTCATTTAAGCGGAGATTGCGTCTAAGGAAGAATGTTGTAAGATATTGAATGTGATTTTTAAATAAAATCAAACTTTTTAGCTTGCGAGTTTCCCGAGTATCAATAACCATGCCCTCCGATGAAAAGGTTCATTAGATTTGAAAATAATGCTTAATTGAAGCCACTCGCCATTGTGTATGGCTTGGAAATTTAAAGCAAGTGGTTTAAATAAGAACATATTTCTGCTCCAGTGATTCCATGCCCCAATGCATTATTGAAAGTTTATGTTTTTAGGTTGTGGACAATTGTGTCAAGCGTTGAGAGTATATGGAGGTCATTAGTGGCCTTACTCTAATGCGTCCGAAGACTATTTTGTCCTAAATACAGAATCGCAGACCCACAAAATATTTTGCAAGGACAAAGATAGTTAGCTGTGGTAAAATTATTATTTACCATCACTTTGTGCATTTTGTTGAATTTTAAATTTTAAGATGAATACATCAAATGCTTCAGTTTTGTAGAGAATATCCGCATCGTTTTGGCCATCAACGCTTCAACATCGGCAGATTTTAGAAAATATGTAGATGTTACACAACGTAGTTCTTGCTCATACTGAATCATTCGATTTCTGCCTAATGAGGCTCATTAACTTCTGCTTCATTTTTTAAATGCATTTTCATTGAAGCTGGGGAACTATGATATTATGAAGTGGACTTTTTGCAAAAGAAGCCCTCCTATCACTTTTTCAAGGTGTATTGATGTCTGCTAACAAGGGCATTGCATAGTGGTGGTCATTCCAACAACGTGTTGGGTGCTTAATCCTAGATATATATTGACGAGGGGAGTCTAATTTATCAGTTGAACTCCAGGTGACACTGTAAAAATATTTCACCACGATGTCTTGTTCATAGCCTGGTCCACAACATTTGAGAACTTTTCACGCATTTGACATTTTTAATACGAAAGGCGAGACCAAATATTTCAAGACCCAAATTCCACACTGACCGCTCCATTCGTCATTGAATTTGTCGATGACGCCGCAAATATCGTTACCGAATTAGCCTACGATCCAGATAACACCTTTACGTCAGGTCATGGTTATAATAATACGAAGATCATTTCTGGATAGACAGCGCATTTCAGTTCGGGGCATAGAAGGTGCGAATTAAGCATCCCAACTTTGGACTAATAGAACTGGACAGGTACTGTGATCTGCGTCTTTTACGATATCCACGGGATCGCATGTTAAAAATCACCTATTCAATCTACAATCAGACATACGATGAGCAATCCGATGTCCTGAACCGGAAATGTGATTGCGACAAAGTCGGCTGAAATGCTCACTAAATAGTCATCTTCTTCAACTCCTTGGCCTTCACTACGATCGGTGATAAGTAAGAAGACTGGGACAGTCAATGTCAATCTCCAGATCTCCATTCTTACAACTGTCATTAGTGCCTGTGAAATAGATCTCAGAATGTGTGGCAAATTAAACCGCCGTTAACAAATCTGAGTCACAAAAATTTGGTGGCCTTTGGTGTCATCGACACAGGGACGTGAGAATGGATCCAAACAGAAGAAACACTGCCTCCTCATTACACCCTTTGAAAACACGTCACGGATATCACTTCCGCTTCTGACGTCAGTGAAATTCGCCATATTTTCTTCAGTGACATAAAGAGAATTTTTATGCTGGCTTCATTGCGGAATGGATAATTCACTTTGCGCTACTACCAGACCGTAAGATGCTGTTATCTATCACCAACTCCACCTAACACTCGACGAAGCGCAACCAAATGTGGACACCTACTATACCACCATCGATTAAAGAATTTTGGTTTGGCTGATGCACTGTTCCGTCTCAGCAGTGGACAACTTTTCACTGAAGTGGATACCGCCACCGGCTGCATCGACGACTGTTACGCAACAGTTCTTGCATACTCTTAGAGCGCGACTCATCATTGGAGACGGACCTAGTTTTTTCCACTCTAGAAAGCCATTTGCTACGACCAAGTTCGATTATTAGCGTGTTGGAGACTTCCAGAAGGGCAGGGTCTCCGGCAAGGCGAACAAATTGATTTTGTCAGATTTGTCATTGAGATTTCGGCCATGTTGCTAGCCGATTACTTTTCACAATGGCTAGATATTTCCCAAACAGATTTACTAAAATCATTCCGAATTGTAAAAGCACGGAAGTTCAGCGATAATAAAACCCCATCAATAACCTACAATTGACTTTGAGGTGATTCCACGACTTTTGAACTTCGATCATGGCCAAATCGATAATTTCGACCAGGTTGTTGCCGTGACGTGGGTGGCATATGCTAGGATGTGTGAAACAGCGTGAATCGGATGGTGACAATTCCGGATAGACTCTCACGGCAAGCTGTGAAAGGGGGATACTGTGTCGGAGAATTGAGCGACCGGATTAATGCGCGTCAATCAATTAAACGTGATTCACCACAGCATCTTTGGGAATTGTGCTCGTTGTGGTTTGTAAATGTACCGCGGTTCTCGTTTTGACCACCATTCTTTCAGAATGTGATTCATGATATGCCGTTTTGGGAACTTGCCTTCACAAAGGCATCAAGCACCAATTAATCCTATCACCATTTACACAGAAAGATCTGATTTTACATGAAGGAAATTTGTCGAAATTGCTTTTTTTCACGCATTTTTATGACTCATTATAATCCCAACGCAGAATCACACACCCTATTTGGCACGAAAAGGAAATTTCAGGCACTGAAATGGGCAGGAGTCTAAATGGATATGTCGCAAAACAGGAATATGTTCTGTGACACCTTATAAAAACCTGAGTAAAGTGCAAATATCTCTCCACAAGTGGCTTACTTGTTCGAAAGCAATTCCTTGGCGAATATTTCAATAAGCTGCTTTTTGCTAAATTCGGGTAGGAACAAGATTTTTTATTGGTGCACTTGATTTTTATGCATTTTAAGAAGTGACAGAGAAGTTAGTTGCTCTGGGGTAAATTAGCACGCGAATACCAGTGTAGAACACTCGTCGTGAGCACTTATTTCACAAAACTACATTATATGGATTTGGACTAAGCAGGCATTGGGAGAGGATGAAGCACTAGCCGACTGACTGATTTGAAGTCATATTCGGTCTTGTGAGAGAAGTATTTTCACCGCATCCGCAGAAACGGTACAGCTTTCGGAAGATTTGGTATTTAACTCCACCTCAACGGGTTTCTCATCTGTTTCAGAATGTCTTAGGTTTGAGAGAATTGACCACAACGCCGAACCCTACTACGTGGTCATTAAAATAATGACCGAGTCAAAATTTTCATCAGTGGGCCCTCAGTTTTGAAAGATGTCGCAAAAATAACATTTTCAATTGGGTATTTTAACTCTCTAACGCCAAACAATACGGTGTGATCTTGGTGAAGCAGAGGCATTAACTCTGCGCCTAAACCGACTTTCCTTACATGCCTTTTGACTAGCTGAAGTGCACCCACATTAGTAAGTGAGCAGGTAGGCTAAAAATATACAGGATTGGGCTTTTGCGGGCTCCTGTAATTTACCACGCTTTTCCCCTTCGAAAGCTATCCTAGTGCATTCTACACAGTAACATGATATATCTGATTAATTTTGCCTAATCTTGGAACAGTGATTTAGGTCACTGTGACTCGTGCTAGGTAACCTCCAACATGGGCGTTATCCCCGCTTGGTAAGTCCTGATTTTAAAGTAATCCAGTCCCTCGCCACCCCAGCTTCCCAGTGTTCGTCTGAGCATGCAACAACTTCGGATGCGGAGTTGCGATGAAACACGACACAGCCGAGTTGAGGCCTCTAGTAAACGGCTGCCTTCGTCGTCTTTAGTCCTCGCAACCTTCTCAGGCATCAATCGTAGAGCAGCATCGACGGTTCATTTGGTACCTCAATAATACCCCTGTGTAGGGGTCAAATCAAGATACGGCCAAATTCTGGTAATTGTTACTTTTAGTTCAAAAAACGCAAGTCTTCCAGTTGCAGCGGAATAAATAAGGCTCGCGCGCAAGTATGTATTAGTAAGCGGCAGAAGCCTTACTGTCAGAAATCTACAGTGTTAGGATGCGGCTACTTGTAACCATGACAAAATGCTGATAAAGGCAATGAAGGAGCGGTTAAATATTCCTGCATTGCAGAAGTGAGGCCACAAAAGGCTCATCTGTCCTTTCTACGAAAAAAGAGTAATTGGACAAACACCGGACAAACCATCACCAGTCCAACTAAGAATTGTTATTTTTGCTTATTCAGTCCCTTAAAATACGTAAAGACAGATCGCATGATGTCAAATCAGAAAAACGAACGCGTGCTGTTGGGGATGCCGGCAATGCAGACCCCGACTAATCAAAGACCACGACTCACGAAGAATTCGGCAGTACACGAACTTCCATTTGACTGGTGCTGACAATGAAGGGCTTTAGTGCGTACGACACATCGCCTGTGCAACATGGGCCTACAATCGTGTAATGTGCACGAACATCACCGGCAATAGCGACAGCAAAACAAATGCGATTTGGGGAATTTCATAATGCGAAAAATGTATAACACTGAGATGGAGGATGGAGTGCTTAGAGCGTATAAACATGGGACCAAGTGGTTAGCGAAGTCTGGGGAAGGGGGAGGGGGAGGTTGGAATCGACCGCACGACACGTTTGTACATGCACCACCGAGACTGGGCCTTCAGCCGGTTTAGCGCTTGCCGAAACCTCCGCTGCGCATAGGTGCATTGAAATTCGCGGCCGCTTGGTACTGCAGTTGATAAGCCAGCGGGTGAATCTTGAAGCCGTACAGTCTGGTATTTGAAAACAACAAATAATTTTTGGTGAAATTATCGTCACAGTTTCGTAAAAAAATCGATACGAACAATTGCTATGACGCTCTTAACATAATATCGATTAACAAAGCATAAATACCACAATAAAAGCATGGCAAAATTAAGCTATTGCCCTATCTGAACCACAGAAAGTATGCCAATTGTCTGAGGACCACCTCTTTTTTTGACACAAGGAAGGCGATTCGTACTTTCTAATTAAATTTAAACAGGTAAATTTGGAGAAGTTCAATAAAATTAAGCGATAACGACAAAAGCTAACACCACAAATGCATAGATTCAGTCGGTGAATTTAAGATATGAGTGATTCAAGGGTGAGGCAGCAGCGGACGCTCGCAATGGCGAGGTGGCAGAATGACTGTTAACAAATATCTTCGCGAGCTGAGTTTAACCACCGTAAACGCCAAGGGTTCAGTGATCTGAACTTAAGTTTATCCGTGTGTGCGATCATAGTCTGAAAGCACTAGAACCGGACTACGCCAAATCGCGCAACACAGCGCGCTTGTACAAGTGCGACCGTGTTTGTGGCAAATAGCTGAGAGCATGAATATGAATGAGAACTAGTAACTGACAAAAACACCGCCAAATTTGGTCCGTGCGGGTGACAGTAAACACGGATATTTTCAAGCACTCCACTACCATCAAACTTGACGTCAGATGGGGGAATAATTACCTGGCGACAAATTGTTTTGGAGCACGTTTAGGTCGGTATTCGGGGTGGACGGCGAACAGCATATGGGGGAAGCCGGTTCCAAAGTAGGCTCCATCAGTGTGGTGGTGGCGCGTCGACTTGGGCGTGTAGACGTCCTGGCAGCGCGGACAGTAAATTTTCACCATCGCCTCGCCGGGGATATCCGAAAGACCGATCGGTAGACAGGGCTGGTTGTCACAATACACCTACCAGAAGGGGGCACGTAGCTGAGTGATTAGGGAAAATGACACAAGTAGGACAACAGAATCTGCATATGGCAAAGATCTGGTTCTGGATGCCGTGATAAATAGCATAAAAACGTACACGAGGGCAGTAGCCGAAGTCACCTTGCAGCCACTTGTCACCCATCAACATGAGACCACGGTTCGTGAGAATGTAGCGAGCGTGTATGAGCCCGTAGAGCATTTCGGCGGCTTGCTCTATGATGTCTGGTTCGTGCGCATCGTTGGGCATTTCATCATCTAGACATTGACGGTACAAAAAAGCAAGGCTCAACTAAAAGGCGACCTTGCCAAATAAACAACGGCATTAAGTTAAAGTACAACTTTTTAATTCTTTATGTTGAAATTTCACATCATAAGTAACTTTGACAGCCAACTGTAGTAGGTAATTAACCAAAAAACACCGTCTTGAACATGATTTCAAGTAACAAAAAAATGGAGTCTAGACGAATAAACATTTCCAAGAAATTCCTGGTATTATATGTAGTTTGGCATGCTAATTCTGTCCCATAAAGATTGTAGAACAATACTTTCGCTTTAGAAGTACAAGCAATTATGAAACTAAATATGAGTTCAAAAATTACCATGAGCACTGACCTGGCAAAAACTTTAAACAAATCAAGAATGGATTGACAAAAGGTTTACAAATCGATGTATGAATACTCAGTAAATTATTGGTTTTGAGTTGCCCACAATGTGAATAATAGATCAGAGTAGGCGCACTTAGTGTGAAAAGGCATTAACTGTAGTTTCACGGCAAATCGAGTTAATGAATTTGACAAGCGATCAAACATCACGGAAGAAACCCAAACATAGGGGCGGTTCATTCAAAAACCATGGGTGTTATTAAAACTGTAAGAAAAATTTCATGCTAAGTGAATTACCAGGTTCAAGATCCAGAATCATATCAAGGGCCTGGCGGTAATTCGGCACCTGTTCTGAGAGTCCAGTAAGATTGAATCGATCCTGAATGTACTCCTCGTCTACTTCACAAAAGAATTCATTGCCACGCAAGCCACAAAACCACAGAATCCACGAAACCTCCTCGCTACTGCTCATTTCTGACTTAGAAGCCACCGAGGATTCTGTTGACGTCGCACTGTCAGTAATGATGCCTGGAGAAATAGATCGTAAGGAGGTTAGATTCCTGCGTAATATTATGTAAAATCAAATTTATTGTTCATGACAAAATTTTTGCAATTTAACGATTCTAAAGCCCGAAAACACAGCCTAAGTAGTGCAAAATTACAAAACCAATACACATATTTCTTGTTGACAGGGTTTCGCCCTAGGGACTATGAGGGACCGAAATATTGATACGACAGTGCACTCTTAATATGTATCGGCGCCTACCTCGATTTTTTTAAGTTACGAGGGTAGCCTCAATATCCAAGATCTTCCTTTGCGATACTTCGCTTGAGACTGTAGACTACATTAACCCAGTCTCCCGATTTCGCAATTAAAAGCCAACGCATACAGCAAGAGTGTACGTCAAACGAGGTAACGGGAATCCGATGAGTCGCATGATACACAATCAGGGAAACCTAAACATGATTTCCCCCACACGAATAAACTGGGGATTATTAAGAAAACCTATGCCCCTTTTGGTAATAGAAAACGCGTTAATACAACTACACCGATTAAAGTTAAGGCATTTTGAAAAGCATAAAGGAAGAGATGCCTGGTGCAAGTAAGCATGATGACTATGTTAGGATTAAATTCAAATGCTCAGCTAACTTAATTTACAGCTAGAGTTTCCAATTATGCGTCACTATATATGCTGTTTCAAGATGACATTAGAAAACGATTGTAAATCAAGAGAAGATAGGTGTCCAAGCATGTTAGGCTTTAAGAATTTGAAAAATTCCGTCAAAACAAATGTCATTACCGCTCCGAGACCACTTCCCGCTCGTGATGATGGATTATATGTTAGAAAATTAAAACAAACCAAAGAGGAATATTACTTCAATGGTGATTTAAAAAATGCAAAAAAGGAATAATTTTACATTCTGCACAAACCTTTATTGTTAGAAAAAACTTCATTGTTGATTTACTTCGCGTATCAGATATACTTAATGAAATTATTTGAGAAATCGCTTTTGAATTTGTCGCTTAATATTCTGCTAAGCACTGCCAAATTGGGAAAGTAATAGAGATCGAAATAATTTCAAAATGATTAGTCTTTGATCTGCGTTGGTAAAGTCTTAGGAGTGGGCAGTTAATCAAGCATATACTTTAACAATTCGCTATAACTTTTTGCTAATGCTGACTACTTTTGACACCAAGCAACTACTTTTGCCAAGCAACTATGTATTTACATTAATTTTGTATATAATTTCAAAATCACCAGCTGACTTTAGCAGCAGCAGCAACAGCAGTGTATAGTGTGATTGTATAAAATGTAACGGATGCAGACTTTCAGATAAGTAATATAATTATTAAATTTTTGGGCTTAATTGGCACAACTGCAGGCCATCAATTAACTTTCTTCGGGTACCCTATGACAAGTAGTTAATCGTAACTAGCCATCAAACACTTTCTGGTCATTTTGCCTGAAACTTTACCACAGTCTAAAATGCTGTTGAGGGCCCCGGCATGTTGTCTTGAACCATGCCGGGGCCAATGCGATTATCTACGCCGAATACGTTACCCTGCGTTCCCGCGAAAATATAGAAGACCAGAATGGGGAAGGCACAACCGTTTACTAGACCGCTCAACCAAGTTGTGTAGTGTACAATTGAGTGACATGTAAATATGAACACAGGCGTTTGTGAGGTCACCTAACCAATGCGGGAAGTGGTGGTGGTGGTGATGGTACATTCAGCGGGGTGATGAACCAGAGGTCTCACGTGACAAGGGGGGAGGTGTACTGAAAGCTGCAAGGACAGGGTTATTGGACGTGAATCAACACGATTCACTACAATGCCTTGATAAGACAGTGACAACTAAGTGATTTAAAAAAATTAGGTTATAAACAAGCAGGCATAATAATACATGTCGAGCGCCACTAAATGATTCCTCAAGTATGCGACAGGGTTTCCCTTTTTTATTTTAACGAAATGCAGTTTTTCACCATTGCAATTCCACAATTCACCATTTTATTCTACTTCTGTAGTTAAACTGTTACATTTCCACTTTGGCTTGATACTTCCTGTCTGGATTACACAATGTCAAAATTTTTCATCATTTGGTTTTATTGTTTTTCATAATTCTAGCTACTGTCTACCTTCAAAATAAATTTTCACTTTTGTAATTCTTCGAGCAGCCTTTATTTCTTACGTAATCTATCTAGATTTGGTCATTTACATATTAGTGAGCCTTTTTGATTAAAGCCTTACACAAAATTAACAATAATGTACACGCTAATTTCACTGATGCTATGAGCTTTGTGTGCAGTGAATCAAAAAAAATTTCATGGAACCTATCTCGGTTTTTTAATTTGCAAGTGAATGACCCGAGAATGCGTACCAAAATATTAAGCATGCATAGCACTCAATTTGCTCAGTTGATGCTTCGTGGAGATTAACTTTTTGGCCACGTATTTGAATATTCCATTTGTATTTGTGACAGTAGTATCGGTAGTTCCACTCAGTTGTGTCGTGCAGAGTTTATGGTCGTGGACATGTTCAAAATAAACAAGGTAGTAGATAAAATATGAAAGCCTGATTATGTGCATATCCACGAACATGTCACCCCTTTCTTGTCGCAAAAAGGAAGTGACCATCAAAAAGAATCAAATGATCATCTAATTTTTTTGCTATAAATATATTTATAACTGAAATATATGGAACGCTTCTATTAAATGCGAAATTCAGTAAGTCAGCGTGCTTATTCCCAAAAAAACATTATTAACATGTGACGCTCAAACAGATTGCACACGTGCTTCATAATTTCTAAAAAAGGCTGACTTTAACGAGGTAAGTTCAACCTCCTTGATTAAAGCAATTTTCTTCAATTATTGAAATGTTTTTAATGACCAGCACATTCAGAGCACGTTATAAACAAAATTTCGCGTAATAAATTTAAAATTGGAAAAGTCAGATCAACTTTGTATCAAACTTTTAAAAAAATTTCATTTACCAATTATATATTTTTTTTAATTATTGTTTTGTGTTTGTTATTAAAAGCATTTTTAACAAAACAGCACTTACAATAGTTGATATACCCACATACTTCGAAAAACAGCAAAATCAACCCAGTACTGTTTATTGTGATGACGTCTTTTGACAATCTATATTACGACAAGCAGTTGAGTAAGCAGCAAGTGTAAATCAGTAAATATATACTACAAACAGGGCCCTTACAACCATTTTGGATCTTAAATGATTTTTTCAGCAAAACTAGCATAGTAATTCAAAGGTTCAACCAATGTAACTTGCTAAGTGTATTAAGGACAGAACTTTCGGTAAACGAAAAATGAGTTAAGATTCTGACACGCTACATTATGGCGACGCATATTCACAAATATCACCTCTAGATTTTGCATTGTGCAGGCGTTGATGATTCACCGTGGGTAAATATCATGAAGCTAATTTAGCAGTGAAAATTGCCTTTTAAAGGATGCCAATGTTTTTCTACCCAAAGATCAGCTTCGTATGCGAGAGATGTTAAGCAATGCGTTGATGGCCTCTAAATTATACTTAAACCGCAAATTCAGATATTGACAGCCGTGCATGTCCAAAGAATATGTGTCCTTTAATGAATGTCGGAATTGTAAGTTTTTATTTTTTTATGACATTGGGCAAACATTTACAGAGTCGTAATGAATTTAATTATTTTAGCTCTCATTACGAATTGCAGTCGGAATTTCATTTTTTAAGGTACAATGCCTTTATTGGTTAGGAATTTAGCTGTATCCCATAAAATCATATCAATAAATATTGCGTTTAAATTCTGCAGGTAAGTATGTATTCGTCAAACTTTAACTTTGATCTAGGTTTGTTTAAGTCTGCACTTTAAAGTGCAGTTGGCGCTGGTGTAGTCTCGCGTGTCTTGCAAAATGGTAAGTGTGCTAAATCTTATGTCGGTGTTGGAGCTACTTTGGAAATTGGGTTTTATAAATGTTATTTTATGCGATTTATGCTAATTTTGCCTCTTAATTTTTTCGGGACTTTCCCTTTAGTCCGAGAATGTTCTCATCAGGACCAGAAAGTTTATGTCTAACAGACTTCTTTCCCGCAAACAAATGATTTTGGATGTATTTCATCCTGGGCGACCTGTACTTTCCAAAAAGGAAATTCGGGAGCGTCTAGCGAAGAAGTATAAAACAACGCCGGACGTTGTTTTTGCCTTTGGCTTCCGCACGAAATTTGGTGGTGGAAAATCCTCTGGATTTGTTAACGTGTATGATTCCCTTGATCACGCTAAACGATATGAGCCCAAATTCAGGCTTGCCCGAGTAAGTTACATTTCTGTGTACTGATGTTCGAAATTGTAGAATGGCCTCATTGAAATCAAGAAGGAATCCCGCAAACAGCGTAAGGAAAAGAAGAACAAGTTAAAGTTAATCCGCGGTACTGCCAAGGTGACTGGCGTCGATAAGAAGAAAAAGAAGAAGAGGAATTAAGTGGTTTTACAATAAATGATGGCTCGGTGAACATTACCGTGATCCTTTTTTGAGGTCTTGTGTTTCATAGATTAACTCGCTAAGTGTCTTGGTAGTGATGCTTAAATTTTTTTGCTAAAGTACCCACTTAAGTGACTTCACATCTATCTCCGCCACATTTGTTTCTTGTCCTGATCAACTTTTGAACTTTCCTGTTTGACCATCACTTGAAGAAGCCTTTCCAAATCGTCAAGGTTCAATCTCGGTGTAGATCAATCTAGGTTTAATACTTTTAGTGATAGCATGTGTTCACTAATGCAAAGCGAAGCTGTCTCGTTCACCAGTGATTTGTTGAAGAACTATGCCTTGGTAACTGTGGTTGTCTGCACCAATCTTCCAGTGCTTTTGTATAGTTCGGACCATAGTTTTATGCGCTGCTCTCTTATTCGCCTATCAAGGCAGTTTTAGTACAATTGACGTTCTACAAATAGTCATACTGTTCCATTCGTGGTACTTGTTGTTGTCTGGTCGGAGTCAGTCCTCACTGTCTATGAGTTTTGTTGCAAACCACCTGATACTTAACTGCTTTATTCTCTTGAGTAATTGCGCTTTTCTTTGAGCATGGAGCCTGCAAGCTCGAATTCCAACTTAATCAGTGATTATTTTTCTGTATTGATCTCTTGTTAAGCATAATTGCGAAATAAAACTAGGTATCTTTAATCAAGTCACTCTTCGGAGTCGAACGCATTGACGCTTGTTATCGGGATGTCACGTTAGTGTCAGGTTACCTCAGAGCCTTCTCCTTTCGGCTGCGTGGGTTGCATTAGTCGTTCAACAGGCGTTGTCACCTTGGCGTGGTGGGTTCTGCTTCCAATTCGTTTATGAAATAGGATGGGCGTGTGGCGTTGTGCTAGGTGAAGAAAAGCTACCAAGATAATCCCAACCATAGTTCGAGAGAGACTATGGCAAAAGAGTCATGATCATTCAATGGTGCATTATTTTTCAGGCCTGTGGCCTTCGCTACATCAATGTTAAACGAAGCCGATTGTTGATGTTTTTAAGTCTGGCTCTCGTGCACATTGGGGTATTTTGCTGGGAGTATGCAATGGACACAAAGTCAAGGAAGTCGTGTATCTTCGCTGCGTCCGAAATCAGGGCTCATTTGAGTTGACCGCTTTGAAATCTACCATGAATAATCACATCTGACGGCACCCCACTATTGGCAAAAAGTGAGGGTGCTAAATCTGATGCATCATTAGGATCCATGAGGGTTATTCCTCGTCTTAGTGGTTCGACTCATGCCTGTTTTAATGCTGGCAGTTTGCTACTGCAGACACTGATAATTGTAAGGCACCCTGATATCCATGCATCTACACCCAGAGATATTCATAATTTGCATGCCGTGGGAAGGCTTGTGCTTTTAAAATCAACGAAAGGCAGAAAAAAGGGTCAGATTGAATAAGCATTTAGGCGCTAGCTATACGTGACTAGAATTAATTTAATGCCAAAGAAACGACTGGGAATGTGATAGATACCGGGAAACAAAATAATTGGCTGTGCTATGCAGTGCAACTAGTCTGTGAATCCGTACTAGATTAACCAGAAAAGCCTTCTTAACTTGAAATTCACAGACGTTTCAGGTTTGCCACTGACCACCAACAAAAATGCTGTTGGCATTATCTGACAAACAGAGAACATCATGAATACAGTAATGGTGTGTAGTCGACAGGATCACCGCTTCCGCTATAGCTAGTATACACTTGTATCCAAGTCGAGAAGGCAGGCAATAAAAAACAAGAAGTTTATTGAATAAACTGTAAAGGTCGAGGTTCTGTTGCTGTTACTTTTCCGGCAGCTTCCGTTTCAATTTTATGTTTCAGTACCTTCTCAAAATTCTTTTTCATGTTCTTTAAGTCAACATTCTGCTTTTTAGCTGCTATAATCCTCTGGCCCTTCTTCATTTTGCCCATCTTCTTCTTCTGTGAGCCACCACTTTTCTTTCGTTTCAGTGCATCAGGCACGGCCTTCGAAACCCTCAACTTGCCCTGAGCCATTTTAATTTAAGCGCTCTCGTGCAATAATGTCCTTGACACTCTATCAAGCAATTTTAGAACATTTATGTTCAAAAAGATTGCATTTAAAATTTATGCTATAATTTAATTTCGAATTTTAGGTAAGTATTTTTCCAGAGTTTTCGATGAATAACTAGTTACTCATAGTATGATACTCAAGGTCTTTTTTATTATATATATATAAGCAAAATAGTATTAGCTAAATTATTGGTTCTCAAGGACGTCCATTCGAACTTTAAAAACCTAAAAAAACAAGAAAAAGGTTTTGCACCTCTTGGCGTGATTAATAAATATTAATTTCCAGAAATTTTCACCAGCAATTATTTGAAAAGTTTGAAACAAATTGACATTTTACTATGTCGAAACTAATGTGGTAGTCATATTACGAAATGTTTATCTCAACTTTTTTGTCTGTTAGGTTCTCGTACAATGCCTTATTTCGTAATAATATGACCCTGCTAACCGAAGTCAATAAATGTGAAAAATTTTTAAAAATAGCAAATTATATGAGTAGCTGAATTATGAAAAGAAAAAAAATGAATTTTTGCGAAGATAAAAGAGTGTTTTTAATTACTATTGATAACCACAAATATGAGTATGACACCAACAAATAAGTTTAGTTACTTGGTTGTTGGGTTAATTGATATACATATATGATTTTAATTGTATTTTTGTTATCACCATATCTTTGCAAACAGTATTTTACGATAGTTGTCGTAACTTTCTTTCACCATTTTCATTTTTATGAAGTAAAACCTTTTTGAACAATCTGAGCTACTTGTTAGGGCAACTTGTTTAAATCATGATATTGAATTAACCTTAAAATTGTTGTATTGAAGGGATTTCTTGTTAAAATTTATTCTACACTCTGGTCTCTCATGAATCTTCGCTTTACAACAATTTTCATCGGTTCATGCATTCGCTTGAATTGATCCTTAATGATGTCTCCTTCTAATTACCACTGTGATGTTTCTGGAGCTACTGGAGTAAGCCCCTATATCCTGAAAATGTGATGATTTGCTCCCAACTCAATCGATGTCTCCTACTACCCATGCCACGAATTTCAGGAGGAATAGAAATTACTGCCAAATTTTTGTCCAATAGTCAACATGGGGCGAATTGTCCACGTGAAGATGATTTTTCATGCATAATGCATTTTTAATATGACCATCTTGATTTATTTTACTATTAATATATGTCCCTTCCTGTGTGCTTTCCTGGATTTAAACTGATTATCATTAGTTGTCACTTGGTGTGTGTTTAATTTTTCGACTAATTTAAAATCTCTCTCATCTGCAAACCAAGCATCGTCGATTTTCACAGTTCATTGGATTCTGTGGAATGTCATTTCCAATATTTGCTGTGACCACAATGATTCACTAAAGTTTCCATTCAACATGTTTGCTCTGTGTGCTCTTAAACAAAGAAGACCATTGTTAGATTTGCGTCGTTTAGTTAGTCAATTTTTTTTTTCAAAAATTAACCCTCTTTTTTTCAGGTTTACAATTAACGACACCTTTGACGTAGGTTGTCAAGTGAGCTTCAAAAGTGCACGTTCATTTTGGGAGAGTCCGTTTGATTAGGTTGGAATGTGTGCATTAGATAATTAGTCCACTCAAACCACTTTACAGTTGGTGAGCAACATACCGGACGAACTGTGCTTTTATTACCAAATGAATTCCATTTCATAGCAAACACTCTATTGGAATATAGGGGCGAAAATTTGACAAGATATTTGTCACTCAATCTGAAATTTAGCAATGCCTATGGCTTATAGAATTTATTATCTTGTCATGGATCTCGCAGTAAACAAAATTGGAGCTAGGCTTTACCCAGGCTTCGGTTAGATCAGATTTCGGAAGAAACCGCAAAGAACTTAGCAAAAGTAGGCACATCCATGAGTTATCGTGTTTAACCTTCAAACCTCACACTGAGAATTTGCTTTTCTAATGAAAAAATGGGCGTTCGCTAAGAGAATAACATTAGAACTGTCCAGTTGCTGGTCGTCAGGATTTATTGATTTAAAAAAAAAACTAATGACCAACACTCGCCAAAGGGAAGGGAATTGTCAAGGCCTGGGCAATTTTGACTCGGTTGGTTGTTAATTGGCTCAACTAACATATGGCTTTGAATTCTGGTGGTCTTCCTCAAAGAGTCAAGCCCACAAACAAAAGTACGTGGTTGATAACTCACACAGCTGGTTAACGGACTCCAAAACCACTCAGAGCGAATTAACGTACGCTCAAAAGGTCGATTTTCGGTATGTTAATTGGACACAAACGAGTATAGTGGTTAAACGATTTTCGGTTAGTAGATTTAAGATGGGGGTCAGAGTTTGTGTTCCGGTTCACTTGGCCTCCATTAAAGCCACTTATCCTAAATTTGTAAACCTTTGATAAAGTTACACTAGCCAGTGTGTGTGTGTGTGTTTAGTCGGGGCAATTTTGGAAGCTTCATGTCCGACTAGATAAGATTCTGTAATGCCTTCTTGAATATCGCATGATAGGGTCACGTGTGTTTGGTTTGATTTGGACCTGGACGAGTCTGTTGTGGGCCCCAGCATGCGGTCCTGAACCACGCCGGGGCCACGGAA